TATCTCCTGTCAGATGCAACTAGGCTAGCATCCAAACATCATACACAACACCTTGGTGTCAATAGCGCATGGCACCCACTCCCGCCATGGCCCTGCTCATTTGTGTATGATATTTGGAGCATCTGGAGGAGTGTGAATGGTACTGGGAAGAGGAGGGAGGAGGAAGCAGCATGAGTGCCTGGCTAGGAGGCAAGTGGTCAGCCGAAGTTGTGCAGAGCGAGCCTGAACATACCACTGGTGCAAACCCAAGCATCTGTTGGTGTTCTTTAACAGAAACATCTGGTGGAACCCCATGATGGGATCTTCATCGGCCTTGAGCTGGCCCACAACCATGCTGATGATGCAGCTATCTGGTGTAGGCTGATGGTCCTGTACTGTGATGCTGTGCTGTATTTTCTGGAACGAAAGGCTAGACAACTTCTCTACCACAGCAGCTTTCTCCTGGAACTGCCGTCCTTCCCACGTAAGGCATGACGCCTCAATGTAAATTGCGCCTAGTTGGGTTCTATCGTTATCAAATATCTAGTGGTCATGTTGAATGAAGCTGGATCTAATCTGTTCCCAAATTGGCTGTCTCCCATTCTGGAGCATCGTCCGGCCTTGTTGAGACCCGAGGGGCTGGCACAAAGGCGACAGAGGCAACAACCCAGCGTGATCTGCGACAGACTGTCCCTTCCCCTATTTATTTATTTTAGTAGAAATAAATTCTCACTGTGCTGCCCAGGTTAGTCTCAAACTCCTGGACACAAGCAATCCTCCCACCTCGGCCTCTCAAAGTCCTGCGTTTACAGGCATGAGTCACCACGTCCGGCCCAAAGGAGAAAACCAAATTCTCTCTTTACATTAATGATTAACCTCAAAGCTAATTTTAATAAAACCTCATAAACAAATCTACTTTTAATCAGTTTGACTATAAGTTAAGAGTTCTACAAATCTTTTATAACCTGTGTTAAAGTTCAGAGCAATGCTCAAAGAAAACCTTGTTGTTTCAACATAGGGGCCTAGAGTCTGGCCCAGCACTAGTGTGCTTTTGATATTGATGATCAAGTTACAGAAAAACTAAATAATACCCTTTAAATTTAGCCAAGTTGATCACATACAAAATTCCTCTTTTCGTAAGATTAATTTGCCATAATCCTTTTTGTGTGTGTGTGTGTCGGAGTCTCACTCTATCACCTGGGCTAGAGTGCAGTGGCACGCTCACGGTCACCGCAGCCCCAACCTGCTGGGCTCAGGCGATCCTTCAGCATCAGCCTTCCAAGTAGCTGGAACTATAGGTGTGCACCACCACGCCCAGTTAATTTTTTGATTTATTGTAGAGACAAGGTCTCACCAAGTTGCCCAAGCTAGTCTCCAACCCCTGGGCTCAGGCAATCCTCTTGCCTGTGCTCCCAAAGTGCTGGGATTACAGGAGTGAGTCACCGTGCTCATCTCTTATTATAGCTTAATGGCCGTGCTCATCTCTTGTTATAGCTTAATGGCTTAAATTTTAAGACATACATAAACAGACAACTTAAGCAAGTACAAAAAGTATTACAGAGTATTACAAAGTTTTGTATTTAAAAATATCTAAAGGAAATAGTATGGGACCAATAGACTCAGACAAAATATCTAAACTAAATTCTGAAGACATTTCTGTTTTGCCAATGATTTTAAAACTGTATTTACTAAAGATTACTAAAGTCATGTGAGGTAAAGTTTCTATCTTCCGATAAAATATATTAAGCACTTATTTTTTTCTTTAAGCCAAGTAGAGTTCTTTCATATATTTTGGAGCAAAACATCATTACAAATGTAATGTACAGATAGATGTACAGACCCACAGACAGAAGCAGCTGTATACATTGATAAGATTCTCCTTTTGCCAGTTTCAAAAGTTCCTCTTCCCCAATTTAGATTATTGATCTTTTTCAATTACCTGTTTTATTGCTTTGGGCAATCCTAAATTTGCATTTCTAGAGGAACAATTCTTAGGTTAAATAGATAGAGAATTTATATTTTAAAAGCACAGAATTAAAATACCAGGCCTGAATATTATACCATAATTTGCTTTAACTAAGAAAAAATGGCATAAATAAATGTTCTATCAATGTGGCCAAGAAAAGCACCTTTAGCAAAGGTCTGACTTCAGAATTTAAAACAGCAGTACGGTGGCTCACACCTGTAATCCTAACACTTTGGGAGACTGAGGTGAAAGGATTGCTTGAGCCTAGGAGTTCAAGACCAGCCTAGACAATATAGCAAGACCTCGTCTTTAATATAACATAACATGACAGAAAATAAATAGGCAGACACCTTTACAAATGGAGATTTCCTTACAGATTTAAGTTTCTTTTATCAAAGGGTTCAGCCAGCTACATGCCAGAAAGTTGCACTTTGCCTTTTTAGATTTTTGACTTCAGGACGAAACCCTTTATTATTTAAACATACAAGGAACTAATCACCATTCCTTGTAAGCCACTGCTGCCAGGTATCTCTAAAAGTGTATTTTTGTAAACCTATCTATTACACATATTAGGGTTAAATTTTCAACACGACGCAAAGCAATTTCTGGTATTCCCAAAAGCCAAAAAAGAACTAGGCAACACAGTACAAAAGAGAATCGAGTTTTTAGACCTGAGAGAAGTCTCTGTTTACAACACTTGAGGTGCCGTAAGGAAAAACAGAGACTCCTTCCAAGAAGAGTCTGTGGCACCTTTTCTGTTTTCCTTAAGGGATCCTGGGATGTCTTGTCTTAGGCTCTCTCGTGTGGACGTCAAGGACGGCCAGAAGAAGGAGGGCCAGACAGGAACAAGTGGAGAAACAGATGAAGTTTAGTCTACTGAATTCCCGAAAGTAGAATTCCAAAGAGAAAAAGCAAAAAGGGCTTGTAAAAAAAACATAGAGCTTGAGGCCAAGCGTGGTGGCTCAAACCTGTAATCCCAGCACTTTGGGAGGCCAAGGCGAGATGATTGCCTGAGCTCAGGGGTTCGAGACCAGCCCAGGCAACTTGGTGAGACCTCATCTCTACAGTAAATATATAAAAAAATAAGATGGGTGTGGTAGTGTGTGCCTGTAGTTCCAGCTACTTGGAAGGTTGAGACAGAGGATCACCTGAGCCCAGCAGGGCGAGGCTGAAGTAGCTATGAGTATGCCACTACTTCAGCCTGGGCGACAGAGTGAGACTCCAACTCAAACAAACAAACAAGCAAACAAAAACATATATATAGCTTGGGTATTAGTTTTTAATTAAGCTGACTTTTAAACCACAGAAAGCCAGGTACAGTAGCTCCTCCCTATAATCCCAGCACTTTGGGAGGCCGAGGTGAGAGGATTGCCTGAGCTCAGGAGTTGGAGATCAGCCTGAGCAACATGGTGAAATCTCATCTCTACAATAAATTTAAAAAAAAATTAGCCAGGCATGGTAACACATGCCTGTGGTTCCAGATCTGGCTGAGGCAGAAGGATCACCTGAGCCAAGTATGCCGAGGTTGCAGTGGCCATGAGCAAGCCACTGCACTCCAGCCTGAGTGACAGAGTGAGACTCTGATCCAAAAAGTAAACCACAGAACTCTAAAACAAAATATCTTTTCACATTTCTTATTACCAGAAACAAGAAAGGAGAGAATTCTTTTTTTTTTTTTTTTTTTT